CGGTCTCTACTTATAAGTATGAAATAGTATAAACATGTTATAAGTATTAAAAATGTGTATTATTTTAATTCTTAGTATAATATTACTAAACTTTTGAATGGATTTATAGTAAATAATCTTAATAAAATACTATAATAATTAAGTTTTTAAAATATAATAAGTACTAGACTTGATTTTCATAAACTTATTTTTCGAGATTTGACYGATGCGAAGTTTTCAATAACATCATCAAAATTTATAGTCTATGTCATTTTATTTTCTATTGACAGTTTGACAGTATAGTAAGATTTGATAATCGTTCTTGAGTCATGTTTGAACGGAGATATGTTTTGATTTGTTTAAGTTTACTGAATGATCTTTCCCCAGATGCAACAGTTACAGAAAAAGTTAGTAATAGTCTGTAAGCGATAACTAAATTTGGATACACTGAGCTTAGTTCATATGTTTTTATGCCATTTAATGTGTCTAAATAAGTTGCCATTTTTAAATTAGGTATAATTGCTTCTCCTTGATGCTTAAAACATTAAATTTCATTCAGTAATTCACTATTCAGATCTGAACTATATTTTAAAACTAGATCAGCAGCGTGTTTATTAAGATCTTCAATTGACTTTCCTAATGAAAAATATACACTATGCCGTGAACACAATGTCTGAACACTATATATCATGGGTTCAAAATTAAATCGTACAATTCTTTCCACTCGTTCCAGTCGTTGTTATATGTTGCAGTCTATGTTATTAAATTAATTTTATTAAGTAACAATAATAATAATATATTATATATATCGCGATCAGCGACGTCGTCATTACGGGAAAAAAATAAATACTAACACTAAAAATAAATAAAAATATAAACACTATATTTGTCAACTGGTAGACAATCAAGGCAATGCTTATTATGTCGAAATAGTGTGTTCGACGAGAAAAAAGAATATGAATTAATATTGAGTATTTTAGTAATATATATTACTTAGATTATAAAAATGCTTTTGGCGCCCCTGTGGTCAATAGTGCCTGGTGCACACGCATCTCTTGCAACCCCCTAGGCACGGCCCTGATAATAGTTGTGGAACAAAATGCACATTAACTGGCTATCGGCTAATAACATTTCAAAAATGATACAAATATAAGTACAGAAATCACCAAGTTTTGATTATTAATAAGTCATTATTTAAATACATACCTTTAACACTTGGAAAATATATATAGGATGTATTGGATTGTGTTGGAAAAAAGAACATCTAGTGATTAGTATTTGTTACTATGCTCCTCAGCTCTTTTGCTCCATAAATTGAACATATCTTTTGAATTGCTTTGCAAAACCACTCCAGATAGGCCTAGACAGCAAAGTAAAAACCAATTTTTATTTGCAATTTTACTTACAAAACKTACATAATTGTGTCTGCCACATAACTATGTACAATAACAAAGTAATAAAACTTTGAATCTTCCGTATCATTAATACTACTTATTTCTGTACTTTTATTTTTACATATTTATAACTAGCATTAAGTTATTTTAGTTTTWAAAAAAATAGTGTCCAATAATGTACATTTATGWTACAGTATAAGATAGACTACACAGGGTTTATAACAAGGTGCGTTAGTGGTTTATGTGAAAACTTATTTTGGGGCACTAATATATTATCAATTTTGTCCAAATTATCCAACATCTAAAATAAACCATTATAATTTGCACTTAGTTATATAATAATTTATGTTTAATTAATGACTTAAATTAATTTTTCGGGACTACAAAATCTAGGTACTTAATACAATATTCATGATGTAAGAAATGAAGTTAAATACACAGCTTTAGTTTTACAATCGTAGTTTGAATCGTGAATTTAGAATCTATTATTCATGAGTTCATGACAAATTATTTAAAATGTATAAAATATTCAATTTTATACTTAAAGCTTAATAATTTAATACAAGGTTGAAGGTTTCATCATAAATGGTTCATACTAAAACCAAAAAAATGTATTAGTACAATTTTTTTGTAGATATTTTAAATTAAAATTTGGGTTGAAATAACAATTTTAGTTATTTTGCTGTAACTTACTCAAAAATATTTGTGTGAAATTGAAACTTAACACAAATATATCTTATCGTCTCTATTACCCAGCTGTRTTTAAAGTAATCTATTCTACAAAATTAATTAAATTGTGCTATTATTTTTGATTCTAAGTAATGTAATGTATTGGTTTTATCATTAAATATAGGTAATAATCTTTTTCTGTAAATATTTGTGGGTAACAGTACTACAGTAGTACTATAAAGAAATAATGATATAGCTTTTTTAAATATTAGATTATTATTATTATACTATTTACTTATCCAGGTAAACGAGACAAGTTCCCCATTACCTACCTAATTCTGTCTCTGGATTTTTTTATTTTAATATTTAATATTAATATTCTATACGACTATTTAACTTTGTTTTTATTAACAATCTATAAAACAAAATACTCACTTTATCTAGGTCATCATAGAAAGAAAAATTCCATCTAAAATTTTAATAGCCGTTTCAATTGTGCAAAACTAATACCTAGTAAGTTGATAAATGTCAAAGGATTAGCTGCCTAAAGTTTCTTACTGCTATTTTTAGTATAACACTTCAACATAAACAAAATATAATGATATTATGTATAGTCATAAACACATTATATATCTTACCATCTAAGTGTTTATATTATTGGACATATTATAATATTAAGGTATTAGGTAAATATTAAAACATTTAATTTGATTGAAAATAACTATATAATATTCTATTTTATAAACAAATAATTTAAATTCTAAATAATCTTGTTTATTATTTTAATAATTTGAGCATATTTTTTCTTTATTTAGATAACACTGCACCACCTACTTACGAGAATATTGACGAATACATCATTAATTATTCCAGACATCAAACAGCTGGTACTGAAACTGATCCATCCTGGATTACATATTTCAAAAAAGCATTATCTAATTTAGACCCTTCTCAATGTTAATATAAAATATATTTAATTTTACCAAAGTATAAGTCATATGTTTTCCAAAGGATTTTTTATATTTTTATTTTGTAATTAAATTTAAAAAAAAATTGCATTTAGCATAATTAATATGTACATATAAGTACCTTCAAAAATTATTTATCAGAGTGATTGTTGTTTTAAAACCAGTAACAATTTAAAGTCTTATGTATATTTTATTATTTTTAATGTAACACAAGCAGCATTAACTTAATWTATCAATATATTTTCAACTATAAAAATTGAAAATAGTATGCATTTTTATTCACCAAAAGATAGTTTACTTATACATTTTCATGATTTTGACAACTTAGGTAAAAATTTTAACTTTAAATAATTATGAAAATATCAAGACTGTATTTTACATATTTTTAAAACAACAACAACTTGTGAGGAATGTAGTAAACACCTACAACATACCTATTACATTTTCAAGGTTTTTGACGTAGAATTAAAAATGTTATAAACATAATTATACTTATACTGGAAAAAGACAATCATTAGTTGATTGGTTAATAATTTAAAATACACGTGAAAAAGTTTTTATAAAATTKAACTGTTAAGTAAATAATTATTTTATTATTTATAGTTTCTTTTTGAAATAAAATAACAATTGATTTTTATTTTTTCTCACTTTGAAAAGTACTATCCTCGTTATAATTTCCTACCAGAAATTACCTACAAAAATAATGAGTAATTTTCATTGCTACCAAAGATGACGACACAAAAAATAAAGCACATTGTAAATCCCCAATGCATTTTAAAACAATTATTAACAATATAAATATTGAATGTCTTTAAGTAATCATACTAAGAAATTCAATAGTATATAATAGTCTTATGCTGTAAGATGCCTATAAGTAAGTAGAACAGGTGACCACTAGGTACTGATCTGGACAGGTTGCATATGGCATTTCGTGAAAATTAGTTGGGCTAATTTAAAATCTTAAGATTGTATTGAATTATAAGTAATATTATGTTATAACAATAATTATTATATTATCGTTGGTTTGAATTAGATCAATTACACTAGATACACTTAATTAAAGGGCCTGGTCCCATGTGTCCTTTATTAAGGGACAATATTTGGGCTATATACAATTTCATTGCCGCCGTCCATGGCATATGTATATAGTAAATATCAACAATAATGATTAGTGTGAGTGTATGCAGGTGCCTTGCTAGTACCTATCTAATATCTACACAAACGAGCACATGTCGACGGCAAAAAAATGAAGAGTAATTTTTTGTTCAAAACACGCTTTCACGCGTCAAAGAATTGACTAATTTAGTTAATTATTTTTTGTCAGAAAAGGATAATTTTCTTCAAGGCGTATTCGATTTTGATTTATAATTTTGTTGCCTAAAATAAAAATAATAAAAAATAACATGAAATCTTGTGAAAATCGGCCATATTCAAAATCGCATTATATGGTTTAGAGATAGAATTTTGAAAACTCGTTTTATAAGAAGTGTTTTTCTTTCAAGAAAAAAAATGTATCAAAATCGGATCATTCTACGAGATATGAGAAATTTTCCTGTGAAAAAAATTTGTTTCTGGGTTGTCTTCTGAAATGACATATGGTCACATTTTATTCATAATCCACTTGTATTAATTAAACTATTATGTGTAGTTGATTTTAGGGTAGGTCCATTTCAATGTCCCCCCCTAATTTTAAATTTGAACATCTGACCACGCCAATCGTTTGTACAGAAATGGTCTCAATCTTTGTGCACAAAAACTTCCAGCGTTAACTCTAAAACAAAATTGTGAGGGGCATTGAAACGGAACAAATTTTTAAATTCGATACATTTTGTATAAACCTAAATGTCGTTTATGTAATATGTAATAAGGTTTTACAATTACCAGGTAGTTGCCTAGAAATAATATATATTATATATTTAAATTTTTTGTTGTATGAAATATATAATATGTTTTAACTTTTAAATATTCCTCCATGCTCCAGTCGGGTCAGTTATTATGCCAGTTTGGCTTAATTATGATTGTTGGAGGGAGGAGGTTGTCGTATCCGTCTTAAAATTTTTTTCTCATGGACCATATTTAAGTAATTAAGTAGTTTTTTTTTTTTTTAATTATCCGGCGGCAACTAAGGCCATTGGGAAGGGGGTAGTACTGTAGGTTGGTTTTACACGTGGGTGAGAGTTTTTGGCAGAATTTCAATTGGGGCACCCGTCGGTTTCTGCCATGCCCCGGAGTGGGGGATGGCGGCACTTGTTCTCCGGACACCGTGACTTGCCCGGAGAAAAATGCCGCCCGATGGTCGAGGATCGAACCGGGTCCGGCTGAGCCATAGCCGACGCGGTAGACCACTAGGCCACCTCGTCACCCTAATTAAGTAGTATAGTACTATAATACCTACTATATTTAATTATGAATATTTATAACCTTTTGTTCTTTTGAAGTTGCAATTTTGAGTATTTTACGGATATGCAGATTATTTCACAAATCTACTCGGAGATAAATAAATTTTAAAACTTTATTAAATAGTACGAAATTATTTATTTTTATGTGTGCAATCTGTGCAAACTATTTTCTGCGTACGTCACTGATAATCACCYTATATTTCGTCCAGCCACGTGGCCAACTCTCCGCGACACAGAATTAATGTCACCACTGCTTCTCTCGCCATAGGAAGTTCAACAACTCACTCACGACGCAAGTCAACCAGTATCTTGGCGATTAAATACACTAAACCGTTCAAGTCCGCCGGAATGATCGACCGTGTTTTTCAGAAAAATCAAATTCCCTGCAATCATACAATGGTGTCACTGTATCAGTTATACGTTATTATATGTGACAATTTCGAGCACAACCTGACCCACGTCATTAATTTGCTATTAAGTGCGGATTTTACTCACTGTTCTAACCCATAATTATAATTGTGATACAAGTGCATTATATTTACGTATTCAATACATCATACGTTCACCATGGAATTCAATCATTATAATATAATTTTAAAATTAGATATAAAAATAATAAATTAAAGTAATAAAATTAAAAATTCAGAAATTAGACATAATAYATCAAATCTACAATTACATATGCATTAATATTGTATTGCATGCACTGTCAAGCTCTAACTCAGAGTTGAAATAAAAATAGAACAGTTGAACCTTGAAGAAAAACTACTAGTTTTAACTTAATCATTTGTGGAACTTTGAGCGCAAAAATAATAAATATAATCCGACCGATCTCAAGTCGATTTCATACAAAATCCACATGTATTTTCAAAAATCTTATAATTTTGATACAATGATCAGACTGAATAAAATGTTGAAGTTAAATGGGTAGATTTGACGGAAAAATTGGCCRGTGTTAAATAGCTAAATAGCTGCCTGCAGTCGGTTTTTTTTTAAAGGAAATTAACATAGGCAATTTAATAGGCATGGCCGTTTTCGACAAAAATCGWTSCCTTCCCTTTTCAGCCGATTCACTTGTCAACCAAACCAAAAAGTTTAGTATCTACTTTCTTTTATAAATATCGAAAGTTATCAATGCTATTAACTATAAATTTTATAAATTTTAAAGGTATAGCTAATAATGTAATATAATAGGTACCTAAAATAATAATAATAACACTATATATTTGTTGTCAATAATTATTTGATTAATATATTCTACAGTTATTAAAGACAATATGTTCATATTATATCTACAATTATAGGAAGGAAACTACATTTTGTATACATGATATAAAAATTTTTAAAAATATAAGTTATATAAAATGTCCTTATTTGTGTATCTATTTATTATTAATCAAATAATCAATAACAATAATTATTGTAATAGTTTTAATACATTTCTAAATACAGTGAAAACTCTCTATAACGAAACTGAAGGGACCATGTGATTTCTTTCGTTGTTGAGAGTGTTCGTAATAAAGAGTAATTAAAAGGTTTTAAATCAAACCAACCATTATAAGTTAACTTAATTTATTTACGCGATATAGAGTTTTTTGTTGTAAAGAGTTTCGTTATAAAGAGTTTTGACTGTAAATAAAATAAAGTAAATATACAATTTTTGGTTCTGATCGAAAAAAACCTCGCCTAATTTAACATGATGACATTACAGTGAACTGTAAGTATAAGTGTGTGCAAAATAAACGCATATAAATGTGTATGTGTGTCTACTGTATAATCGTTAAATATGACAATAAAAGCCKATAAAAATATTTCATAAAAAGAGCAATAAGCGAACATCAGTGATCAGTAACCCGGTAGCAGTGGCACAAGTGAAGTTATAAGGGACTTAGACCCCAAAAATACCCTTCATAAATTTAGATATAAGCTACATATGTTATTTTAAATTAATAGTTTTTTTTAGGCAGTAGCCCCCCAGAATTTWAACCACAATTGCACCTATGCCAAGTTAGTAAGTCTGTCATTATTTATATTTTTCATCAACTAACATCTGTACGTTCAAACATTGACAATGATATGAAATTAGGTAAACTTTTTTCAATTTACAAAGTAGTAGCTATTAGACCAAAAAGCCAAAAAAAAAAAAACTGAAGAAATTTGTTTTAACGGATTTATGAAATTAACAAGTTAAGTAGATTATTATAGAAGTGATTTTGAATAGGTATCTATTTTTTCAGACTTGATATCGATGAATATGAATATGATTTTTTTTTCTGAGCAGAGCGATTAATGTATTGAACTATTGAAGCACCTAATGACTAGCATTCATCGTAATAAAAAACAAAGATTTATTGAAAAAAGAATTCAAGCAGCCTTTGAATATGSGAAGGGAGCTTTAATCCCCTCTAAAATTATTTATTTATACACTAATGATCATTTTTTAATGATAAAAACTATTTTAAAATGTCATTTTTTTGCACATAAATTAATGTTTTCCCCACTRATGACGAACCTTGTAGAATTTCCCACTTAAATAAAATGCACCTACATATTATGTATACACCAATTTACATGTATACACCTATTGTCATGCCTGTGTTTTTGTTTAATTATGAATACCTATATGTAGCAACATAATGATATGACAATTACCATAACTTGCATTATTGACCAGTAACCCAAGTATGAGATAGTTGAAAGCGAAGTGTATAAAAAGATTATACGACAAAATTATAAATTTTATTTATAATTTATAAAACATATTAAAAATTATACAGCCTTGAGGTTAATGATTTAATGGATGATGGTTTTGCGAACTACTCGATAAAGCACTTAAAATAAATATGAGTTGAATTGAGTATACTATATATTTATAATAATACTATATCGTATATATGTGTGTATAGAGTATACACTATACATAAAAGGCTTCAATAAAATACATATCGGCTTATGGATTAGGACGACCTCCCAACCATCCGGTTGTGACGTCGCGATCTCGAACTTGTGTGGCGTTATGCCGAGYTCGGGCTTCAGCCATTTTGGTCTTGCTAGACCGTCTAGGAGCGCAGCACTTAGGTTTTGTTGGTGGTGGGCAGCACGGTGCTGGCTCTTGTGAACAGTATGCTTCTGGCCCCAGTGGACAGAACAGTTCTGGTTTCCGTGGGCAGCAAGGTTCCGCCTTCTGGCACAGTTCCGATTTCGGTGAGATATATGATTCCGGTTCCGGTTTCGGTTTCTGTGAACAACATGGCTCTGACTCACGTGGAGAATACTGACTCGGCTCTGGCTCTCGTGGAGAATACTGGCTCGGCTCTTGGCGAGCTTCAGGCTTCCTACAAAGTTCTGGCGTCCGACAAGGTTCTGGCTCCTGMCGCAGTAGCTGCTTCCGGAAAGATTTTGGCTTTCTACTAGGTTCCGGCTCTAGGTGCGGTACCGGTTCCTGGTACGCATCTAGATCCGGCTGCTGTAATTCCGGTTCAATTTCGATGGCCACACCRAATAGTTTGAACCGGAAGTTTTGAATCTCTTTCATGATGTTCCGCTCCAATTGCGGATCAATGGRGTAAGATTGCTCAGAGACAGAAGCGTTAGCCCAGTACTTGCACAGCTCGATCATAATGTGGTCCAGTAGCTCGGCACTGACTTCACATTGGGCTACGTTCAATGCCGTGAACGAACCACGCATCTTGCGCCGCATTTGCACCCAATCAGGGTTGTCGTCCGGGTCTGCAAGTGAAATTTCAACTACCTCCGCATCCACAAGCTCCCTCTCTTCGTTTGATGATAGATCCTTCTCGTAGTACTTTTCTACATTCTTGTGCAGCAGGTCAAATCGATCGCTAGCCTTGTTCGGGCTCCCGTGGTTTTCCGTTACCTGTTAATATGTATCAGATATATTAAATAACTAATATTATTATACCATATGATGATGAATAATTATGATGGGGACTATAATATAAAAKAAATTAATTTTCTTATAAAACTGTTCAAAACATATTGCTAAGTAATCTTATACATCTAATCGTGTTCATGTTTTATGTTCACGCATAGGCCACCAAGCTTCTTCCAATTGCAATGATTTAATTAAATAATGAACAGAATTTCGACAAATTTTGGTCATCGTTTCCACCATAAACCTCGATTTTCATTTCCACCAAATCTATTTCTACCTATATTATTGAGCTGGAATTTGAGAACCCCTAGTCTGTCTGTAGTGCTATCGACCATCGATATAACTATGTCGATAAACYATTTAATATTGAAGATATCATAAGAAATTATTGATTTTAAACGTAGAAATACCTATATATTATAAAGAAATATAAATCTATTTAACCTATATCACGTGTAGTTCTGTGACCGGATCTGTGAGTACTGAAGTGGCAACATAATATTATTATTCAAATTTAATTTTTCGTACAAGTTAGTCAAAAACTCAAAACAAATATTTCACGATTTCGCTGTTTCATCAAAACTAGTACCGCAACTGTTTATGTTGATAACGACAATGTTTTAATCAGTACAACAAATATGTTAATAATGTATTTATTTTAATTTTTTTTTTCAATTTGGTATGTATTAATTACTTGTACTGTAGATCACATATGCAATGACCCATGTTCTATAATATCGATAGGCAATTAATGGCGACTGCTAGTAAACGAAAATCAGTAAATTCTATCAGTGAAAGACTTCAATAGAATAACAGTGTTTCGAACTTTACGGTCAATRATGTTTCAGCTATTCGTAAATCTATATATCGAGCACGAAAGCATTCATTTCCGATTAATCCTTCATGATTAAATGAGTTCCATTCTGCAATAGATAACACTGACACATCTACCTCAAATGGAGAAGAATCTGTGTTAAAATGCCCAAGAAACAAGTATAATTATATTTTCGTGTGAAACAAATTTAAATTTTCTCTACGAATCACATACAATTTTTTGTTGACGGAATGTTTGAATATTGTCCAAAATATTTTTGCCAGTTATTTACCATTTATGGCTTAAAGAACAATTTTTACATACCTCTAGTTTTTTTGTTTATTGAAGAATAAAAAYTCTAAAACTTATACACAAGTTTTTAAAATTTTGAGTTTGAATTTTTTAAAATTCAAAATAAATGTTATGAAAAAAATTTGACTTTTAATCCAAAAAAATGTAACAGTCGATTTCGAGATTATTTAGAATTTATTTCAGAATTCTATATCAACTATTTAACCTTAAACTAATCTTACTGGCTGCCATTTTCATTTAACACAAGTGTGGTATTGTAAAATTCCAGAGTTGGTACAGAATATAAAAAAACGAGTGGCTAAGGGCTACATTTAGATTAAYATTTTTAGATCCTCAAAAAGTTTTAAATTCATTTGTAAAGATTTTATGTCTAAAATACCAGAAAAGTTAGTACCTACTATAAATACTAGCTATACTCGTTCTCCAACCATAATTCAGACAGGTAAGCAGAAATAGATTGGTGGAAAATAAAATCGAACCTTTTTTCGTTTTGGCGTAAAAGAAAATCGAGTTTATTAACGGAAACGACTGACGCCCCATTCCTCGGGGGTGTATTTAAGATTTAGGGAAAACAAAATTTAGGTTAAGAGGACATCACACACGCATTATGTGTTGTTTCCGTCTTACATGTGCGTAACATAGCAATTTTTTCTCTCAGCAGTTCCAATTTAGTTCCGTTAGTTTAAAATTTAAAGAGATTTGACCTTTAATAAAAATTAAAGGTAAAATTATTATCTAGATTACCACAGAGGCTTTTTAAAATATTTTAATTTTAAAGCAAATTATGAGTATTTCAAGATATACAAACAATTCACAACTTTAAAGATATTCATAACACGCTTTAAAATTATAATAAAATGTCTCTTTGATAACCAAAGTAATAATGTTATCTTTAATTTTCATAAGAGGTCAATTCACTTTAAATTTTAAATTAACGGAGCTAAATTGAACTGCTGAGAGTAAAATTTGCTACATTGCGCACTTGTAAGTCTGAAACAACACATGCGGGTGTGGCGTCCTCTTAACCTTGTCCTAGGGTCTCGTACAAAAAATAAATCAACTATCTACATCATAGTTTATAATAATATTCTATTAAATGAACTAAAAATGTTGTCACACCTACACTGGAAGTTTCCGATGACGCTTGAAGGGAAAACATGTGAAGACCCATCGCCCATAGTACCAGACGATTAACTCAAAATCACCAAAAGCGCTGGTCTTATCTCCTATAAAACTGGAATCTATAATACAATCCTTACAAAATTTAAATTTTTAGTTATATCCTAATATATTTTATGCCCAACKCATATGTCCCTTGCATGACACGCGTAAACATTTTTTCGTACGTGAAATTRTTTTCGTAGAATAGTCTAGTAGACTCTACTCGTTGCATAAATCCCTATCTTATTTTTGTAGTGATCGATGAACACAGAGGCAAAACAAAAAATTATAAATGTGRTACATATGGGAAAAATATAAATGTCAGTCTTGGATGACGGACCCGTGACTGAAATTTGATGATATTATTTTGTAGTAATAAAAACAAGAAAATTTCATCGAATAATATTACTATTGGTATACAACATARCCATTTCGATGAACCTAAATAATATTATAATTCCGGAAGCCAGTGTCAAAAGTTTGAATAGTTTATAAAAAATGTTATCCCTTAGCCATTACCACTGAAATACTGGAGAAAAGCCACCAGCCAAACCCATCAACATTATAATAATTTAATTAAATAGCCAACTATAAAAAATAATGGTAAATAAAAATAACAACAAAATATATAATAATAATGTGTGTTCCAGATCTAAGTCCCTTAGAARGCTGGAATACAACTATTTACTTGTATCGGAGATCCTTAAAAAAAGTTAAATTGTGTCATAATATTATGATGCATTAATTCAATTTTTTTTTGTTTGATGAAAGTGAAAAGATGGATTCAAAAAATAAAAAATTCAACTAAATACCGGTTGAGTTATGATTTTTTTTTTWAAATCTAGTCACGAGTAGGGATAAAGAAATATTTTTACTTTACAATAATTATTCATTATTCTTAATAACTAAAATTATTAAATCTAGGACATCAACCTGAGGTGCCTAAAATAATGACAGCCTCATTGAAGCACCGGTTCGTTTCACCCTACCCCCAATCCATGCGCCACCACCAAATCAAGTGCTGATATTGAACTGTACCTCAGCGGCACTTCCGTCGTGTACGTCCATCAAGTCGGCGTTTGGATTGCACTTGCCGGTGTCATACAACACGTTCCGGTTCAGCTGATCCAGCTGTCTCTCGTGCTGTTCCCGGTGTCTAAGCACTTCAGACCAGACGGCCAGTCTGACCTCCTCGTCGCCGGCCAGCCACTCGTCCCAGGCATCCCAGTAATCGGCCGCATGGTTGCACTGGTAGTATAGCGCGGACCACTCGTTGACCACGGTCGGGAACCACGGTTGGTCGTAGTGTTGGCCCAATGCCCGGAAGAGGCCCTCTGCCACAGTCTTGGTCGACTGCCACTCGACTGAGTCCTCGAAACGAGGTCCGGAGCTTGTCTCTGGCTCTAGGTCRTCGRCTTCTTCTTCACGTCCGCTACGCCTGCCGGGCCTGAGAGCGGCGCTCTTGTTTGGGCCCGTTTTGCACCCTTTTTCATGCAACGACTGAYCGTCGCCCGGACACGGCAGCTGTTTCCTTTTCTTCAGTGGCATAAGAAACGTTTCTTCGCCGTCTGAAGCCCAACAGGTCATGATKGATCAATGTCGATGACTGATCTATACGACGACGGTGATGATRTTAATGCAGACGATRATGATGGTAGTGATGGCGAGTCTCRGCCGACGGATTAACAACTTATCGTATCGATGTCGCCGTAGACTATGTGTTTTTATAMARCTATGATAGATGTGTTAGTTTTCGTGTCAGTTTYGAGTTGTGTTGTGTATATAGCTGCACTCRCCCGTCGTCGATTTACTTCGAGGAGCTTGAATTTTTTACCCGTTAAGGTATATTTTATRAGTGTAATATATCGAAATAACATGAGTTGTACAGTGTTTATGTGAACGAAATTCTGTTTAGTTTGGTTGTTTTTGTTTGTCCAATAACCGCACGACGATGACAGAGTAAATATTATCTGCATCGCCGTGGCTACTATTGGACGTGCATTATTGTACAGGGCGTTCCACAAAGAATGAACTGATTTTGAATTTTATAATATAATACAGGTAAAAGATATTATCTTCCAATCCCCCCTCCAATCACTGCCTATGTTACAACATCACACAGATCGCAGATTAATAATTCTTATTCATAATTTATATTTAATTAAATTTAACGTAACTGTTAACATACGTAGTTACCATAAAATGCATAAATTATTTATAATTTATATTATAATAAAAAATAAAATTTATTCACTAAATTAAACTAGGTATATTAAGACTTCTTAATGTTTCTGGATATTTGAACACTGTGGTTTATACAGATGACAGATCCATCTATCAATCTTCTGGATTTAAAACCAAAAGCATGTGATATTTTAAATGAGAACTAAAGCAAGCACGATAGGTGAGTTGATTCCCGAGACCTATTTTATGTATTAGTTGATTCCCGGGTTATTATTAGGTAATATGTACGAGTTGATTCCCAGGTCATTAAGAGRTAGGTATGACTTGATTCCGTATTGTTGTATAATCTCATTACCTGCAGATACCAATTTATAAAAACAATATGATAGACATTTTTACCAAATTACCTAAAAAAAATTTAATTTTTTWGTAAATTACTAAATTTTTTGTATTTTTTTACTTAATTACTTAATGTTTTTAATGAATAATAAATACAATATGATATAATACAAATAATAATTAATAAATAAAAATTTAATGATTTTCAAAATATGAAAAAACTACAAAAAAACAACATTTTTGAGAAACTTGTCAGCCAACCTCCTCGTGGTGTTTCTTGGGTTACCTATACTAATAGGCTAAATATTTTACTAAACATTGAAAAAAATATATAATAACCCGGGAATCAACTCGTACATACTTCTTGATAACCCGGGAATCAACTCGTACGTAGGTACCTCTTAATCGCCCAGGAATCAACTCAACGGTATCGGTATAGTTAAAGAGGTACCCGCAATCAACTCGTACGCAGCCAATGCAAGACGGAAACTTTGACTGAACTTTGAAGTGACTTAAATGATGTGTATTTTTTATTATAATATTAATATTGCCGTTATCGATATAAATATATTTTATAGTTTTATACATTTAATTAATATAATAATTGCCGAAATATCATATTCTAAAAATTATGTTTAATCATTTCACTTATTTTATTATTTCCAGTGGTTATATAAATGAAAATTTCATTAAACACGAATCATGCATAAATTCAAATTTTGAAATACTCTAAAAAACTTTTGAAACGAACAATTTAAAAACAAAAATAATTGATCCGAATATGTAGAAAAAAATAGCGTTTCCATTAAAAAAAAATGTAAGTTGTATTGCGCTGGCGCACACCAAAAGAGTTAAAAATTCTAAATTTATTTGAAAATATGTATAGGGAGTACCCAAAAACCTCATGTCACGATTTTGACATGTAGGTACAATGAAGCTTGTGCTGGTTTTTAGTGAAAAGACAATTTCTGGTTGTAGCCAAGATAAATTGCCTTATTTTCATAATTAAAATTACCAATTTTTTGGTAAAATAACATAAATCATTACAATTTTGAATAACTTTTTAGGTGTAGGACGTAGGTACACATCAATTTGGGAGGTGAAACTAAAAATATATCATAATTTTTTTTCTCGTATGGTTAAGGAACACCCTAGTGTAGGTATAAAAAATAAACTATACTATTATTAAGTATATGTACACTGTAGAGTGTACACAACAACTAATAAGTATCAGCAACATTTTTAATTTAATAACTTATTTTAATTACTTATATTGAGGACAAGTGGACACACCTGTTTTACCATATTGTTGTTCTTAAAGTATTATATGACACTAATCCAATCGTTATAATAATATTAATCATCCAATTAGATGATTGAATATGGCGTTTGAATGATTATTATCTAACAACGTTTGCTTGATTTTTTTAAGGGGTAGGGCCGTAGGGATAAGGGACTCCGGGTTAGCGTTATCAAAAGTAAAAGTTTTAAAAAATTCAGACAGACACACACCTACAGTTATATCTTACGTTTTAATTAATCTTAAAAATAGATAATAAATAATAGTTAAATAGGAAAGTACTGCAAAATAATCGTGTGAGSGCTTACAATATTTCTATGTCAGTGATCCACCAAGCTCGTGCAAACGTGATAATATATAATATGTATTACGATGATGTWTAATATACGTCTCGTTATTATCGCGTTGTACGCTTATTATTATACATTTTTTTTTTCATCTGTACCCTTTCCCCTAGGTGCCTTCCCACCACTTGCAGTTTTCCAATATGGTGTGTACCTTCAACATACTGCACTCGCGAGTAACAATAAATAACTACAAAATTATTCCGTACACAATATGTGCACATGCAGTGTAACATACACGCGCACCGCGCGCGCGCACACACATTCACAGAACTTGTAGTAGTATAGACATCAGCGGGGGGGCGCCTATACAGCAGGTCGGACACGATCATATTTTTATTTTGTCCTCTGAAGTGTCGAAAATTCTATGTGTTCGATCGCCGTGGGTTATTTTTCGAGTGGTTTATTTATTATACATTTATCATGATGGTTTATTATTATTGTTATGTTATTATATTATACCAAACGTATATAATATACGCGGCTATTATTTTTCAATTTGATCCAATCCAACTCCCTCTGTGAGTRTAAAAAGTGTAAATATATGTACGAATTCGATGCATTCGCAATTGGCCGATAAGAAACGTGGGAAACGCTGTTTGGAAGTTGCAATATTATTATCGTTACAGTCACTCGCGGTACAAACACGTAAACATATTATAGGTAACTTATGTATAACTGTATAAGTAACCTATATAATGTGCTATTACATAATATTATAACTACAGAAAACGTGTGTCACCGTTTACGCGTAGTATGTAAGTATAATCGTATATAACTATATAAGACGTACGGTATATAATATTATTCTTTATATGAATGAAAACCGTGAATATACGAATTCAATATTAGATAAATCACACGTAAGATTATTATAGATAGGATATTATTATGGGTATTTACGGTATTGGGTATTGACAAATATTCATTTTCAAAATGGAAAAATACCATATCCCGGACATATAAATGTATTTCTAATTATGTATGTCTCAATGAATATTTTCAAAAAAATATTTCACATCCAAAAACAGAATAAACTTTTTTTTTGGCAACGCTGTTAAATTTAATCGGTTCCTTGGTATAATACAATTGTATATATACTTACTGTGTAAAATAAAAACTGTTTACATCACATTAGGTATTTAGATACACAATAATATTATGGGGTACCTACCCACAGAGAATAAATACATTTTAACATTTTATAAAAATATTTTTGATAAAGAATAACTGTCACAAAAATAATAAGCTTTTTAAGTTAAGCAATTAGCAATTTTAACAGTTAAAAACATGATAACAGAACGCTAAAAATATATTAATCGCATCAGAAATAAAAAAAACATACCYGTAATCAAATTCTAATATCTTTTACTAAGAAACAAGTTAGGAAAGCTTATTCTGCCAGCCTTCTAAAACTCTGGTTTCTAAACGTATTTCACGATAACTATACGCAATAAACTATAATATTGTGTACTAAAGATTTAAAAAATATTTATTCATCTATACAATCGTAATTATCAATAATCCTAACAATGTACATGTAACAGTGGAGTCATGTTTGTGGGGGATTGAAATATTTAACCCCCCCCCACACCTCTAACAAAATATTGGCTTATATAAAATCTCTAAGTACAAACCATTGTGAACCATGATGGGTAAATCTTCAAAAGGTTATAACTTATAACTTTAGAATTAAGTCCGACTGACAAATTCTGATTACATAATTGTTCTTAACTCGGTGCAATACCGAGGTTTCCGAAATAATTTCCCAAAATCACTTGGAATATGTCGTGGCCCGTATAGGTATTTCAATATATATAAGCAATTAGACATTTATAATTACTGATTAGTTTTTATTGCGTAGTAATATTATTTTAGTTTTGTAAAGCTTACATAAAAGAGTCGTGTTAAACTATAATATTTTTAGTAAAAATAATTAAATAGGGTTTGTTAGTTTYGAAAAAAAGTCATGAGGAATAATCGGATACAAGTCGTATCATAAGAAATCCAAATCCCCCGTAATTATGCCATTGACTGTTAACCA